CGCCCCTTCCTGAATCCCGTCGGCTCCTCGAGAGGCTCCCAACGCGCTTGGGCACGCTGCGGCGCCCTGCGCCCCTAGCAGCGGAGCATCCCGGGATGCGGCTCCGCGGGCACCGGTGCAGAGCGTTACCTGTTGCACTCCTCCACCAGCGCCTCGCGCTCCTCCTTGCTGGGGTTTTTCTGCCGCTCGTAGGCTTGGTACAAGATTTGCTGGGAGGCCGGCCCCCACTTGAAGCGGTTGCGCCGCATCTTCTTGCTGGGGGTCTCGGCGCAGGCGTCCTCGAGCGGCCCGGCCCCCTGGTTCTGCTGATTGAACTCTGGAAAGAGAAACAGCAGCTGATCCTGACTGCCTTTGCCCGTCCTACTCGCACCGCCCTGGGCTGTCTGGTTGAATTCTGAAAGAGAAAGGAGCAGAGGTGATGGGGCTGCCGCCGCACGGCGCAGTGACCGCAGCGCCCGCGCTCCCCCGGCAAACGCCTGCCCGGAGCATCCCCTGCGCTGACCCTGGCACTGGCAAACCCTGGCCCCACACTCCAGCCCCACTCCTGCACCGGCTGCAAACCCCGCTGGAGAAGGAGGAAGACAGCAGTGCTGCGCTGCTCCGAGCGCTCTGCAGCTGCCGGGGACGGGACGGGGCAGCCCTGCGCTGCCTCCCGCATCGCTCCCCGCCAGGTTCACAGTGAATCCTCACAGGCAAAACAGCAGCACCTGGGCCAGGGCACAGCCCCGGCTGCGCTTTAAGTACCACGGGCGGCTACAGCCGGGCGCCAGGTGCGCCCCATTCACAGGTGCCTTTTCTCTCTCCTCCCTTCTGTGCAAGTGATTGCAAAAAACGGAGAGGGGAGAGGTGGGAAACATATCCAACTACATGCAATTATTAATTGCTCTCCCTTTTGACTTATTAATTTTGCCTCCCATTAATTTGCCCCCATTTGCCCCCCATTAACTAGCTCTCCCTGTTAAGGGGATGCAGTCACCCAGAGTCGCTGCTGTTTCCACCAGTGCCACTTGCACGCGGCTGCTCGGGGAGCGAGCGGCTCCTGCC